ACATAATTAAGCAAATCCCAGGTTTAATTAACAAGAGAGTAAGGCTTTTTATAAATGTGTGTGTATTATCATGTGCATCCCAGAGCTGAAAAGTGCCAGCTCAGAACTGGTTTGGGTAAGAGCCAGAAAATAAAGTGGTGTCATTCTGATGCTGAAACAAAGATAGTTACTTACCTTACAGTAACTGGAGTTCTTCAAGATGCCTTTGTCCACATGAACCCATGGTCTGCTCTGCTTTCCAATTGGCATGGAATCCTTACATGGATATTCAATATTAGTGAAGGAACTAAATGGTGGTTGCAGCTGCTCCACCTTTAATACCCTTGCTGTAGGGGGTGTAAGGGCATCCAAGGCACATATGCAGCCCGACGGATACTGCTGGCTAAAAGATTCCAAATTCGCATGTATAAGGCACACATACCTGCGGTGGAATCCGTGTACACAAAGGCATCTCAAAGAACTCCAGTTACTGTAAGGTAAGTAACTATCTTTGTTTCAGCATCAGAATGACACCACTTTATTTTCTGGCTCTTACCCAAACCAGTTCTGAGCTGGCACTTTTCAGCTCTGGGATGCACATGATAATACACACACATTTATAAAAAGCCTTACTCACTTGTTAATTAAAACTGAGATTTGCTTAATTATGTTCCATGGCTGTTGGTATCTGTGGTTATGAAGAATAGTTCTAGTATTTTACTAGAGAATCAAAAATGGCATACAGAATAGCTAAGAACTTGATCCTGGGACGTGACAAACATACTCAATATCCATTGGAGTCCCGTTGATGCTGGAATCAGTGGGCACTGAAGGTGCCCAGCACCTTGCAGAAGGCACTCTGCACCTTGCAGGATTGATCGTTAAATGTTTAAATAAAGTATTTCATAAACCTCTACTCATTAATTTTAACTTTTTTTCTTTTTATAATAACTGATTATTGCTCATTTTGATTGCTTATTTAAAGTGCTGTATAAAACTGATGTTATTTTTGATGGTGAGATATTTAATTTTCAGTAAGTGATGGTTCTTTTTTAGTAAAATTCATATGCCAGCTTATTTGACTGTGGAATAGAATGAGGAAAATTCACTGTAGCTCATATAAAAAAAATTACAACAAGAAAAGAGTGCAAATAGACATGAGGAACAAAATCAGTCCACTGCAGTTTTATATCTTTCTTTTTTTTCTTTTCTTTTACAGAAGCTGGAAGTTACGAAATGACAAACCAACATGTAAAGCAAAATGGAAAATTAGAAGATAATCCTGCCACGGGCAGTCCGCCCCGGACTACATTATTGGGGACCATATTTTCTCCTGTTTTCAATTTTTTCTCACCAGCAAATAAAAATGGTAATTATTATCTAAAGCTACATAATATAGATTAACATAAAAGCTAAGTATGGTTCATAATTTTTTTTTTTTGAAGTTGTTTAGACGGCTAATGGAACAGATGATCCTTCTTGTTGACCTGCAGAGCAAGAGCTGCAGTTGCCGTAAAGGAAACTATCTAACTATTGGAAGGGTTGCTTGAGCTATATAAGAGGAGGCATGGGCTTAGCTGCATTCAAATATTTGTTTCCTAGTTGTATATGTCTCACACTTCACTTTGACTTACAAGGTATAAGAAACTAATTTGGTATTTTTCACCCTATCTAAAATGGATTTCTCCCTCCACCCACCTTTGGTTTGTATTGTAATATCATGAATTAAATTAGGGACATCTTCAGTTATTCCAGAACACATTATCTCTGAATCTACAAATATTGATACTCTGTTAAGTAATTCAACATTAGGATAATGATTGTACTGAAACCTCATTTCAGGAACATCAGGATCAGATTCCCCTGGGCAAGCTGTTGAAGCTGAAGAAATAGTCAAACAACTTGATATGGAACAGGTGGATGAGATCACTACCAGTACTGCAACATCGACCAATGGAGCCGTTTACACTAGCCAAGCAGTGCAAGTCAGATCTACTGTCAACAACGGTTTGGAAGAAGTGGAGGAAACAACTGATCGTGATCTACCACCACTTACAGGTAAGAAACTTGCATTTTCCTGGGACTCTTAAGTTAATTGTGCAATAATAAAAATGTGTTTGCACATTTGAGTAGAAGCTTTCTTAGAAAGCCCAGAGTGTTCCTGTATTTTATATAAACAAAGATTCATTCCCCAAAGTGTTTACTTGCATGCCGATTTTCGTGAGCAGTAGCCTAGGAAACACACTTTATTTGGCAAAAAATAGAATCTCATTGTAAACTTCTCAGGCCAAATCCACTCCTGGTGTGGCTCAGTTGACTTCCACATTTAAATAAAGCCTAATTCAAATGAATATTGTGATTCCAAGTGTCAGATTTTCTGACTCAGTATGTTTAATGCCAAATGTATTAAAATAAAATGTAAACTCTTGAAATGCCCATCACCAAAAAGAAGTTCTCAACCCTTTGGTTGCTGTCACCAAAATAACATAGACAAATGACAGATTTATATAGGTCCCTCTTTAATTTACAATGTTTTCTTCAAGAGAATCATCATGTCCTTTTTGGATGAAAATTCTAGAAACATTAAATTTACCATTGTGCACAGGGCCATCACAAGCCTATGCACTATTTACGTCTCACTTTAAAGTTTCACAAAATTGGTATTTAAGTAGAGCATATATTTCTGTGGGTTCACTGCTGGGAGGTGAATTTCACCCTAAAAGATGTAGGGCTGAGGTGAGGAGAAGAAGATGAAGAATTTTCACTGTTGCTATGAAGACTTGCGCATTAAGTGCAAAATTTTCACATTTTAAAACTGCACTAATAAGACTAGCTCTTGTGGGGCTTTTTGTTTTGTTTTGTGCATTTCCATTGAATTTTAGCACCAGTATCTCCAGACAGTGGTTACTCATCAGCTCATGCAGAAGCCACCTATGAAGAAGACTGGGAAGTCTTTGATCCGTAAGTGTTAATATTTTTACTGAAACATTACTTCTATAATTTTGGGCATTGGATAAAAAAACCTTGAATTTGAGCAAGTACTTTGTCATGTTTAGAACTTGCTTGCTGTGGTGAGTTCTGTTTGAAAACTGCTAATTGTAAAACTAGTATATTGTGACTGGTCATGGCTTGTTATATTCAGTTTAAATTATTTATTTCTTAGTCTTGATTACTTTAAATTACTTTAGTTGACTTACTGTATTGTCAGTTAAGGTAATGTGAACATAGTTATACAACAAATTCTCTTTCCTTTTTAGATATTATTTCATCAAACATGTTCCACCACTAACTGAAGAACAACTTAATAGGAAGCCAGCTCTTCCACTGAAAACAAGAAGCACACCAGAATTCTCTTTAGTTCTAGACTTGGTAAATATGCATATAGACATGAGTTAGTGTAGTGGGGGAAGAGTGAATTTATCTTCCACTTATTTTGCATATTTGACACATTGGGAACATGATGCTCCCATTATTAAAAAGAGACCTTTTATTAAATGCACATGTTGAAAGACTATAAAGTATTCAAACAGATTTAAAAAACTTCAATTAAAAAGACACCAAGTTTAAAGAAATAATTTGAGAAACTGTCACTGAGTAACAAGAAAGGAAAATTCACTGCATTTGTTGCATGATTCAACATTTTTCTTAAACATTTCAATTTTTTTTTTTAAAATCTTCATGAACAAAAGTTATCTGACCTCCAGAGGACCTTCCCAAAAGAGTAGTGGAGAAAATCAGATATAATAAAGGAGAAAATTCAGCATCACCTGTATTTGATCAAATACAGTACTTACAAAAGGACGAATCTCCCAGTGAGATTCCCTTAAGTCCGAGAGGACTTTTCTCACAGAGAAGAAAGCATGCTTCTCTTTAGAACTATTTGTTTTCACCCTCTGTTGATCCATTTTATTGTATTTAAGCAGTTATTACTGGATAATTCAGTCACTGGCTATATATAGTTGTCATTTAATGAATAAAGAAGTCTAATTTTTTTAATGAAGGGGGAAAAAAACAAATAATTTTAGGAAGACTCATTATATAACAACTAAGTTGAGATTGACATTATAAGCACTGTTTTATCATGTGCTATGTAACCTGTTATACACGGGTCATATGAATTGAGTACTCATTTCAAACTGATAGGAACAGAGTTGTATTAAATAAGAGGAATTTGTTGTACCTGTAAAATCAAGATTTCTTTCTCTTGGGATTCTGTGTTAGTGCCACAGTTACAAATGAAATTCTTTTAGCTTTGCAACATTAATGAATTGTATAATATATTAATAGCTGTCTTTCAAACCGTAGCAGCAATACATTCAAAATTAAATTGACCATACTGAATTATAGAGTATATTTCCCTTCCAAAAGAACATAACGAAGCAAATAGTCTCATTTTCAATAATCCTGTCATAAAAGCTTCTTAATTTAGTATGATCTTTTTATTTTATTTTTTCTAGGATGAAACATTAGTGCATTGTAGTCTAAACGAGCTAGAGGATGCTGCACTCACTTTTCCAGTGCTTTTCCAAGATGTCATTTACCAGGTAATTAGAAATATATAGGAAAAATGTACCTTTTTGTTTGTTTAATAGATAAAGTCATCATGCATATGTAATATGTTCTTGTCAGGAGAGAGATAAACATTGATTGGCATCTAAACAGCCATTTGAGTTAAATGCTGCAGATTTGAAATTTTGAAAGGCAGGTGGTCATGTATTAGAAGTATTGTGGAGTACTTTTTATTACTACAACGTGGTAATGATGATTACTAGTAAAAATGTCAACAATGATTAGTAAGAAAATGTAAATATTCTTTTTAGCAGCAGTATTCTATAGCAGCCTTTCTCCTTACCAGCAGATGGAGGCAGGAACATTGAAAGTTCAGGCAGTATCATTTCCCATGTAATAGTTTGCCACAAACTGTTAACTTTCTTCCCTGCCTGGGGAAACCAATTCATGCTGGTTGATCATTTCTTACTGTGAAAAAGGCTAATCTTCAGAGCCTGAAGTTAACTAGCTTCTATCTAGCACCTAGTCTTGCATATCCTTTGCCGGTAACATTTCCACCTCTTCCGCCCGAGCTAGATGCTACTTGGTGATTACAGTTACTTTTGATTGTCTTGTGGAAACTGCTAGTCATTTTTCCTGCTTCAGGCAGTATTATTAGCTTTATATGTTTTACATTGACATACCATAGAGGAACAAGCATGGGAAAGAGGAGATCTGTTCCAGCAACTGCCAAAGATGCTGCACTGACCCAGGCTATTGTTCTCAGGTCCTTTTGTGTGATGTACCTGGGAGAGGCAACAGCTTCCCCTCCATGTAGTTCGCACGATATTGGACCCCTCTGTAGTATCTTTGGAGAATGAGCCAGTCATCAGGCACCTTAAAAGGACACTTGTCCAGGTATTTTTCCTAATTTTAAAAATGTTTTTCTTCATTGTTGCATATAAAACCCCTTGGAATTTTGAAACTAAAATAATTTTTTTAATGGGTTTCTTAACTTGTCTCCTATTTGGTGACTGCCATTCTCAGTTTCCTCCTGGATGAGCTGGGGAGGAAGCTTCAAATTAATTCTTTGGGGGCAAATAGATTCAAGCCTGTTTTTTCCTTCCCTCTCTGAGGCTCTCAGTATGATTTGAGTATTTCTGGCTATAACTATGCTCTTTTGGTGATGGTGTGTTTTACTGAGTGTAGCTGAGAGCCAGCTTAGGGTCTGAGCAAAAGGAAATTTAAGTCAATGGAAAGACTATCTTACAAGGTTTCTATATCTGTATTTAACATTGTACGTAAGCCTGTGCCTCTTTTTATCCAATCAGATGATGATGCAGTTTCATCTATTGTGCCTTAGTTATTTCCCAAGTTTAGAATTGCAAAGGAGCAGTACCTTTGCAAGGTAGACTTGATAAGGACAGCCTGTGTCTACATCAAGTATGTTGTTTTAGGATTCCTAACCATCTGTTTATTTTATTGAGGTGCTTATACACCAGACATGGCAACCCAGAAAACATTCACCTCTTGCTACATGAGGGACAATAAGCAGGAGACTAAACAGTCAAGAGTTTAGTTATAACCGTAAAACATGTAATTAACTAAGGCTATGGGTAAAAAGAGAAGTCTCCTCTTCAGATAATTGCTGAACAGAAACTGGTTAATATTACATACATTCTTAGCTTTGTATTGTAGACAATAACTCACTATTTCATCTGCTTTTGAAAAGTGATTCTTTCAATTATCAATTTGGTCATCTCCTATGCAATAGGCCCATCTGAATTTCAGTTCTCCAAACTCGCCCATAGAGTGTCATTTAAGCTTTCACTGGTGTTGTCTCCTCCCTGCTGGCAAGGAGGAAGTAAATGTCTGAGCAAAAGTTGAAGACAGATTATTAGGTAAGAAAATACTGTTATGTATTTATAAACTACAATACAGTGTAGCTCATTGAAAACAATACCTGACATGTAAAATCAGTTTGTGAAGATGTTTTCTATTAGTCTCTGAACATTTAATACCTTCAGTTAGACTCTTTAAGAAATACTATGAAACTAATGATCAAAAACATGCTTAAATCTTTTTTTAAGAGAGAGTAAAACTTAGCTCAGGACTTCTTTTCCTACAGGATTTCTCCATTCTCTCACACCCAGTTTCACTAATAATTATGCAAATAGAGATCTGGGCTTCATACCATTATTATTTCTCTACTTAACTGAAGGCCATGAACTGATACTTTTGCAGTAGTGGGAGGGTGGATGAGCAAGCAGCTTACTTTGAAGTATATTCCAAAACTAGCCAACAATGCTGCAGTAATGAAGTGATTATAAATATAGTATATATTGAATGCTACAATACTTCTGTCTCTGGAGAAAAAGAGTAAATGTTTAATTCTTTAGTACTAGTGTATGGATTTATTTTATAATGTATTAGCACTTTGTGTCAGGCACTCCCTTTTGTTACTTGGTTAAGAGGTTTGCACTGTATTTAGTTTATGCTGCAGAGCCACCAATCCTAGACACTAGGTCATCTTGCTCCCTCCTCCATCCAGAGAATACCTTCCCTTTACAAGTAGGCCTTACCCAGTCAAGAGATTTCTGTTCACTTAGTTCTTGGGCTCAACAGTCTCACTGATCTTCCTGTTTCAGCTACAGGGCCCAATAGAAGCTAATCAAAAGCCATTTCACATACTCTACTCCACTGCAGCCAAACATAACAGGATTGTTCAACTTACCCCTGCCACATCCTATCAGAGTAATAACTGAGAATTTTCATTCCCCTTCTGGTGAAATGCTATCCCAGTAGTTTCTCTAAAAGAGCAACAAAACCAGCAGCCTTTGGATCAGTTGTTCAGACTTCAGTCCGTGGTAGACACTCACAAAGAAAGCTACGATCAGATTGGGATCTCTTAACCTTGATCTAATTGGACTTTTAGAACTATGTTTTTCTCACTTGGAGAGCCACAATCAACTAAGAACCTGCTGTTTCTATTCATTTATATGATGATCTTCATCTTGGGTCTCTTACAGTTGGGTAAGATGAGTCTAGTTGCAAATCCAGAGCTGCTGAACTTCATTGACCTATAACTCCTCAGCATTTCTTTCAAGGACAGAGGAAGACGACCCCTAAAGCATGCACAGTGATGACATCAAATTAATAGGAAATACATATCTGGAGTTCTGCTCCTGTTACATTCTTCCTTTAGTAAAATAGCATTTTACTGATTACTTCTATTAAAATACAGGTCAAGCTGTTTATTTAGCTAGGTTGCTGTTGCTTATTCGTATAATAAGATTCCAGGATTGTCACTCAGTGTGTCATTCGGAAGCCTACAAAGTTCTCAGCCACTTGACTTTACAAATTACATCCATGTGAAAGCAAGGCATGTATCTATGCCATTCCAAGAGTCTCAGGCTGTTGTGACATCAGAGGTAACTGAGCCAATCACGACCCTTATGCTATAGCTAAATGCAATGCACTGGTTTCATTGGTTGTATGAGGGAGACTGTACAGATGGTGGATTACTTGGCCCAACTGTCACATCTTTGCAACAGCCTGGGCTTTCAGCTGCTAGTAGTCATCATCATCTGATATCTGCGTAACCAGACAGATATTTCTGTGGGACATGAAAGAAGGAAAGGAAAAATAAGTAGTTAGTTCATCTGGTATGATAAAGTCTTAATGATTGTCTAGCTAATTATGGGATTTTTATTTAGAGCTGTGTGAAAGTGTTTACTGTATTACAGAATATTTTCTCCTCCTCCTCTTGTTTGTAATAATTCCTTAGAAATTTAACTAAAATGTATGTCCTTACCAGTTTCTACCCCTATTCTGCACAGACATTTTTGTTGTTGTTGAGCTGCTGGCATTGTTGTTTGAAAAAACATAGTAACAATATGGAAACATTGTAGGGGCGGGAGTTGTACATGTTTTCATGGATGGAAGTCGGATATACACCGTTACATGGACTATATATAGGAAGAAACTACATGGCTCAAATTTTTGCCTATGATCATTAATGCCTCCATTTCCTTGTTAAGAGAATGTAAAGTTTTCATTAAAAAACAAAATAACTTCTTTAACAAAGATTAACTAGCTAACTTAACCAGATCATGTTTAATTTTTCTGTTTGCTCTTGCAAATTACTGGATATCATTATGAAGCTATTTTAAAATATCTGTTTACTTTTTTCATTCTTACTAGTTTTGAAACTTGTAATTGATCATTTTTGTCTTAAAAAGATAGAATACTCATTCTGAGAGTCACATTAAAAAGCCCAGTTTCTTGAGTTCCATAGCTCTTCATTTGATTTATTTTTTCCTTTAGAAGAATTCGTTTCATACTGTATAGTAAATAAAATAAATGCTGTATGCTTTTTCCAAATTAGCCACTTGATGACATTTTCAAACACTTATACACTTCTACCCCTATTCAACGCGACCCGATATAACACAAATTCAGATATAATGCGGTAAAGCAGCGCTCCGGGGGTGGCGGGGCTGCGCACTCCGGTGGAGCAAAGCAAATTCGATATAACGCGGTTTCACCTATAACGCGGTAAGATTTTTTGGCTCCCGAGGACAGCGTTATGTTGAGGTAGTGGTGTAATTACAAATAATTTTGGTTTTCTCAACAAAGATTGGCTAATAGTGTAAAGTCTGACAGCTGGCTTGAAAAATTTTAGTATACATTTTCAAAAATGCTTTGGTCCATGTTGTGACTTTTAAGTCATGGTTCGAGCTGAAGGGGTGCAGTACAGCAGGAACCCCATAAGGAATCCTGATTTAGTCAGCTGGCATTCCCTCTCAGGGGTTCCAGGTAGTGCACGCTGTAGGGACAGTTCAACAGGTGTACTTGCCTCTTCACTCCGTGGGAGTGGAGCCACAGCATTTTGGCATCTAGAGGTAAGGCTCCTTGTGTCATTATCTCTTTCCCTGCTCCTGTACACCAGATTAGACACAATCAAGCCCTCTGTTTATTACCTGTTATGATTGTAACTTACTCTCTACACCCTACTACGTTAAAAACATGAGGCACTCCTAGTACCTCTCCACAT